TTTTGTTGAGGAATGGGCAATGGGCACTTGATATTCTTGATGCTTGGGCTCCTATGGGTCCTAAAGGGAAGATTAGGGAAGAAGCCGGGAAGGTTTTGACTCGGGAACTTAAGGATCGACCGGTTTTCGAAGCGGATGATCAGTCTGCTATGGTTTACTTGTTGGCTACTCAAAGGGAGAAGTGGGGTGATAAGGTTTATTTGGAGAGTGCTTATTATTTGCATGGTTATTGGGGAATTTTGGTTGATAGGTATGAGGAGATGATTGAGAATTATCATCCAGGTTTAGGTGATCATCGGTGGCCATTGGTGACTCACTTTGTGGGATGTAAGCCTTGTGGGAAGTTCGGGGATTACCCAGTTGAGAGGTGCTTGAAGCAGATGGATAGAGCATTCAATTTTGGGGATAATCAGATTCTTCAGATTTATGGGTTTACTCATAAGTCTTTGGCTAGTAGAAGGGTTAAGAGAGTTCGAAACGAGACTGGTAATCCGCTTGAGGTGAAAGATGAACTTGGACTGCTTCATCCAGCTTTTAAAGCGGTTAAGATATCCTCTTCTTGATGATATAGGCTGTCTATATGATCTTATGCTGCTAAATGATAAGTTACAATGTTCAAATGTTGTGTATGCAGTGGGAATTTTATGGTTTAGGTCTGGAGAAATAGTATTCTTTTGTTCCTTATATGTGTTTAAATTATATGTTCTTAATGCTTTCCAAAGGAAAACAGAGCCCATTATTTTGTCTGCATCTATTCAGTTTTGTAGTATATGAGCAAATCGGTTCTGTCAATATTTTAACCTGGTGATACATTATCACTTGATTTGTCAGCCATAACGTTGCTGCATTGTAATTCAGTCAATTAGATAAATACTAATACTATTATACTAGGGATGCGTCATGGATCAGTGATGTTTATTGTTTTCAGTAGCTGGAATAGTTATTTATTGATAGGGTATTTAAGTGGAAAATGGTGGCTTCTGATATTCTTTAGAACCATTAGCTGGATGAATAGTTTGGTTTAAAATTAAACTTTTCTGATTAATTGCCTGTTTACCTGGTTCCTAAGAAAGAAACATTCACTGAATTATGTATCGTAACCAATATCATTAGTCTCTCTCTCTTGCTGTGTAGTCTCTCTGTTTTGGACTACGTAGATCCCCCTGGAGGAAAATGAGATTAAGAATGAAGCAGAAAAAGAGATGGAAGATGATGATGAGTCCTGCAAGGAATAAGCTCAGGGGAGCTGCTGGGGTACTGCAATTCCCCACTTTTTATCTTTTTGACCACGGATACTCGAGGACTGTATAATTATAGTGAGAATATAAATGAGGGTAGTTCATAAGTATTGACAATTCAAAAGATAGAAGTTGGGGAACTGCAGTCGGCAAGCATCTGTACTCATCTTGTTCCTCAATGGACTATCACCATTTTTTCGTTCCTCTTTCTGACGTCCTCTTTCTTAAGGATCTTAACCTTGACATGATCATAACAGCACTAGCCCCTCTGGACATGTCCCTTGCAATGTTTTTATCTGCTTCCGTTGTTCTCTTTCACTTCATCAATCCATTTACATTGAGCAAGCTCCTTTATTATCAAAAGTTAATATACCATGTCATGTGCTTGCATTGTAGTAATTTCCTGCTAGATATCATGCATTTGGAACTCAATCAAAACCCAAAAGGTGCCAGACAAGATTATGAATTTCCGATACTCATGAGTCATGATTCAGAGTTGTTTCCAATTGTTATTATTTAAATTTGATCCGCATATCACATATACAGAATTTTGTTAGCATAGGGAAATCAAGACTCAGAGCCTAAGTCCTAGCTACATAATAGCTCATTTTAAGGGAGCCTTGCATGAAAATGAAGGGTAATTGTCTAATGCAATAAAGTTTTATGATGATATTGCTAGCAGAAATTGCCGTATACTAATATAATACGACGAACTCTGGTTTATCTCGGTTCTGTGGGTCATAGAGTCGTCGTATATGTCTGCTGTTCAGGATCATATACACAAGTTGGTTGGTGGAAAATTATGTGGTTTCTGTCAAAAAATTGAAGAATTTTAATTTCAAATATTCTGCTAGAACAACACGCCAAATTAAACCCAGAGCATGTAAGGGAATGATAAATCAGAAAGTTCAATGCCAGTCCAAGTTTTCTTTCAAGTTGTGGAACCAACGAGATAGAGAAAAATAGTTGCGAAATCGTTTTATTGGTCGAGCCCAATAGTTGCAACATCCTTCAAGACATGGTTGATAATGGAGAAAATTGCGGCAGGGAAATGTTCCCTGCTCAGGGAAGATTATGCTAAAACATAGTGGGGACTCTTCGTGGATGACAAGCCTAACCTTGTTGCAGACATGTTATTGATGATACTTAAGAAAACAGTTAGAACGAAGAAAAAGCTACAGGGGCTGGAAACAACGAAAAAGCAAAATGTTCAGCTACAAAGCATGTCATTGGAGACCTGGTAAAATTCAATATATATCAAAAGCAATAACTTGGAAGGAGTAACAGATCAATCATCTGGATATGTATATTATTTTTGGCCGATCTACAAAACAAATGAACAACTTGATAATAATAAAATAA